ATAATTTTTACCGTTTTACAGTCCATAGAAGTGTTGAACTAATATTACATGTCCTGTTATAAGATAAAAAATAAAAATACAGTTGTGTTGTAAGTAGTTTTCTCATAGTATAATTACATTATGACTAAAACTCTTGATCAAAAGCAATATTTCATTTGTGCTATTAAATAAAGTACGCTAACATATTATCATCTTATCATCATTCGTTTGCTCAATTTTTTAATGATGCAATATCGTGTCACTTTTTTCATTACTCATGTAATAGTGGCTCTTTCTATAGTTCTCGTTTATAATCCATATTCTTCTTTCCTATGTAAAGTTGTGCTCTCTGTCATATGAACACAATTGGAATGATGAAATGGTGTTAGTTAATATCTATACAAAGGATGGTGTCAACATGTAATAAATAAAATACATGTAGTTAACCTAACGAAAAAATAACATCATTCTTTATTGAATATTTCGTTACATCATTAATATCAACTGCCGATTGATCAATAGTAAAAGATGTTGATGATGATGATAAATATGATATTTCGTTTGTATTTATTTCGTTTCCAATTTTAATCAATATGAATTAATTTTTAATTTCATTTGATTAGATCAATCATTGACATAACAATCGTATATATGTGTTGTATGCATCATTAATAGTTTATTTTTCTATTTTTTTCCTTTGTATGTCAGTAAACTAAGTGAATTATTTGTTAGATATAATTTATTTTGTAGTTGAAGACTAGTGATATAAAATTTGAAAAATATAACAATGTCAGCTCATAAATACAGTTGTACGACGAGATTAGTGTAACATCGTGTAGAATATTTATAAGGCAACTATGCTGTTATTTTTAATCTAACAATAAGTTATTTCCGTTTTACAGTCCATAGATACGTACTGTAAACAATAAATAACTTGTGGGTATCTTCTGTCGATGTTGTATTCTGTGAATAAAAGAGTAGGAAAGAAAAATAATAACGCCTACGAATGTAAATAGTCAATGTGAAATTTATGACGAAACTGATTTGTTATCTAGTGTTTACTTTTGTTGATTTTTTGTTATTCAGTACGATTACATGTCACTGAATTCAGAATCATAACCATTTTTCATTTCAACACTAGCAGCGTCGACAACTAGACTTCTTTTTGCTAATATGAATGCTAAAATAATCCCAGTGACTAACGATTCGATATCTAAGATAGATACTGTTGCAGAAATAGACTCTGAACCATCAATCAAAATAGAGAAACCATCTGCGAAAACCGTTGCTTCGCAACTTGATCCAAACAATGATCCCATTAGTGATTCTTGGGATTCGAAACCTGAAATTGCAGCTCAGCTGGTTGCTGCAAACAATCAGCGACTACGTCAATTTATGAACTTTTTCCTTATTTCTACTCTTGTCTTCCTGGTTCTTGGTATTGTTCTAATCATTATCTACGCTCAAATCGATAAACCAGGATTGGTCGTTGGTGGTAGCTTTCTGTTAGTGCTGTTTCTAACTGGAGCAATTTTATAGTAATTTCACTATTACAATCGTCGAGCACGTGGTATGCATCACGAAAAACACTATGCAATCCGAATAGAAGGTGATCAATGGGATTGTTATCTCACTTACTTTTTCCATTCGGATAATCGACCTACAAATTTCTACAGCTGCCTGGTAACTTCCGAAAAACGAATAAATGAACTTCGACAACGAGGCTTTAGTCATGTAATTATTGGACCGTCTGGATTCATGATTGATGAAATATATTACGTAATCTACTTCATGTTTGTCATTCTGAATACCGAACTTTTGATGACAGATAACCAGAGTGGTACTCAGGATGTTATGATTCCTGTATCAATGGCCAAGCGCTATCATCTCGAAAAATATATTTCTGTGACCACGCTTCGCATTGACATATTCGTACCACCTCAAATACCTGCTGATGAACTAACGAATATTATGCACTTTATTTCGCTAAGACGCGGTAATATAACACTGTTCGTATAGATATAACAGAATGGGTGTGAGTGTGAGTCTTGATATCGATTTAGACAACGTTCTCATCCACACGCCACAAAAACAAATAAAAGAACAGAAATAACAAGAAAATACAAATAACTCAACATCAGCGTGACTAGAGAGTGTAGGCATAGATAGCCTGTCAACCGTTCGTCAGTTTCCACCTTCATTCAGCACACACGTACAAACATATCGCACACGATACTCATGATCATGAGATCGTAGCCTAAGGAAAGAAATTCTTTGATAATAATTTTCATGTTAGTTCTATTCGATCCTTTGTATTCACAGTTTTCCGCTCTTCAAAATGATGTAATTATATTCGAATATACATTGATCTACAACAGAGAAAAACTGTGATACTAATATGAGAATATTATCAAAGAGTTTTTTTTTCTTTGATCGCAATTCGATGGTCACATTGGATTCTACTTTGCCGATCATATCTTCTCAGGACCTCCTTGTTGGGCCTCCGTTATCAAATATTTAATGCTTTTAACATGAAAATCGACACCCTCACGAAATATACTTTCTTCAATTTTCTACAGTGAATTTTCATGTCATTGAATCAAAATCTAACGGGTTACCAACATTCTGGAAGTTTCTTTGATTTCATTATCTTATCATTAGTTTTTATTTCAGAGTCAAAAATTATATTCTAAAGTGGATTACAATCTCTGTTTACATTTAGTGTTTCTCGTGTGTTTTCAGGATCTTTATGTTCGGATAGGTCCATTGTGCATGCAAAAATTTACGACTTCTTTCTCCATCTTGATAAAAAAATACCACTTTCAATTTCATTTTGCGAAATGTTGACTACATAAAGAATAGAATCAGCACCGAATTTGGCAGGACGAGCTTCAGATTCATGATTATTAAGATCAGTAGCACAATAACTGGGACACATAGCAACTACTAAAACATTTTTCATCGCTGACCACTGACCTGCTTCGATTCGAGTGAGAGCCGCTTTAGATACGCCATAAAATAACATTGGTGGTATAGAACTATAACCACGTGTATCGACTTTATCGTGCATGTTCAATAACTGAAAAAAATATTTGACAAGTTAATTTAATTCTTCTATTGTCAATGTCAGAGACATATATTGACTCTGAAGATCACTCGATGCTCTATGCAAAGTCCAAGAACCTACTTCACTTGACACATTCACAATGCGACCATTTTCTCGTAAAAGAGGAAACATATATTCATTGACCATTTTGATACCATAATATTCTGTAGCAAATACTTCGCGAGCTGCATCGATCGTTGTTGCTCGCTTCGCAATACCTGCATTATTGATGAGAATATCAAGACAACCATTATATTCTTCTTTGATTCCATTAGTAGCACGAGCGATACTATCTTGTGACTAAGTATCCAACTGAAGTAAGTGTACATTCGGCGGTGAACCCAATCGAGAAATTGCGTCTTGCCCTCGTTGTATATCACAACTTCCCAGTAGAATAATAGTTTTATTGGGATCTGTTGAAGCTGTTACACGCTTCTTCACAACTTCAAAGCCCAAGTCTTTGTTAGCTTCAGTGATAAGAATGACGGTTGGTTGATGCTTGATGAAATATGAAAAAAAGTTAAGCATTATGCTATAATCTTTCTACGGTGAATAGTTTTAGAAAATAGCTCGGATATATTTTAATGTTTTTTTTTCCTTATTCTCTTTCAATTTTCTTTATAAGGCATGCATTCATACTCTCTATATGTTATGGCAGCAAATAATTATTACTTAAACATTACGATGCATAAATGTTTATCGGGTCACATTCATTAATGCAATTTAAAATCGTTAAGTGCAGATCGCACCCAGGCTTCACGTTGTATTTTTTTTCGTAGTCTGGAAGGAATTTGGAAATAGTAGATATCATTCTCGTCATATTCAAACTAGGCTTATGAGTAGATTTTTACTTTAATTATACATATTCCACAGCGTTCTCACCTCTACACTATATTGTGCGTGTAATTTACACCAACCAATACAAAGTGTGATAAAAGTGAAAATGTCGCGAAATAAGTATTAAGTGTTAACTGATTCTTACAATGAGATAACCGAATTCTTTATGAGTGTATTTCATTTAAGAAAATGAATATACACTCGTATAAAGATAAGATTTTTAGTGATAATTATTTTATTCGGTTGTAAATACGAGAAGGACGACCAAGGCAAAATGAGAAAAATAAGATACTATTGGGTTGGTAAGAAATTTTTGTCGTTTTTTTTCGTAACTTCGTAGAACAGTCAAGAAAGTTCTAGAAGTTTCCATGCTAAGAGTATATAAAGGGAGTGTAAATATCTTTCGAACAACAATAAAACTATGGATATACAGGGTGTCTCAGAAGTAAGGGAACAAGAAGGGTATCTTCTAAAATTGAACGAAAAATTGTTTATGATAGTTTGCGCACTTTTTATTGATGTGGAGAGCTGAAATTTTTATCACACCTGTATCTAGCCAAGATCTTTTATTTCTGAAAATTTCAGCTTTCTACATCAATAAAAAGTGCGCAAACTATCATAAACAATTTTTCGTTCAATTTTAGAAGATACCCTTCTTGTTCCCTTACTTCTGAGACACCCTGTATATCCATAGTTTTATTGTTGTTCGAAAGATATTTACACTCCCTTTATATACTCTTAGCATGGAAACTTCTAGAACTTTCTTGACTGTTCTACGAAGTTACGAAAAAAAACGACAAAAATTTCTTACCAACCCAATAGATATCGGGTTGAGTGAGAGCAGGAGTATAAGTTCGTTATCCACACTCACACCTGCATCCTTCCTGAGAATATCACAGTTGATCGCATCTTTCATACGACGAGGTTTTCACCAGTGCGTAACTTTTCTGAAGTGTGCCATTCATAAAAACCACAGTATAATCCGAGATACCCTAATGAAAAGATTGTTAAAAATAACCAAGTTTTGTATTGTAAAAAGAATATTTATTTAATCTTATTTCCTATCAGTAAGAAACCATTAAGTAGAAAATATTCGACATTTATCATTTTCTTCTTTACATTGAATCCCATAGAAACATGAATGCATTTTATGTATACTAGCTAAATTACCAATACGGCTATCTCTGGTCAACATTTCTCTTATATAACAATCAAATCGAAACAAATGATGGAGTCGATTGATTAGACCTTTTGCTAAATGAATGAATGGTGTACGATATACTGTTTGTAGATATAAATATTCGACGTTAGGCGTATAGGCAAGAAATCTGTCAATATCATTAAAATATAGTTCCGTATAATTACTCCAAACAATAAGTCGTCGAAGTGGATGATTAAGTGGTGTAGACGATGTGAATACATTATTGTCACTAGGAAAAATATGAACTTGCAGATGATGAAGATTAGGACATGAAGTCAGAATTGCTAGAATAGACATTGATTTACACGAAAAGATTGACACGAACTGAAGAGAAGGTGACGTAGTCCATGAATGATAAGTGGAATAATCGATACGTCCCAAATGAACATGACGAAGAGATGGAAATTTATTGGAGAACACATCACAAATTAATTGCTGTGGAGGAATGAATTTTGATCCTAATAATAAAGATAGATGTTTCAGATTGGGAATGATTTCAGACTTAATTTGAAACAAATGTTTCGGATTGCTATCACATAATATCAATCTATGTAAATTAGGAAATTGACTAAAATCACAATCAGTGGAGATCTGGATTATTAATTCATTTACATAAGGAGAATAGGATTGCATCGACAATAAATCAGTGTTCTCATCAAAAGTTAAACATAAATTTTTACAGGATTGAATCACATTGTTCAGCCGTCTATTGAGTCCCCAAAAAGCACTATATAAATGTTGAATGTTTATGAAAGTAAATAAATAGAAAAATAATTGGTCTGGAAGCTGTTCCAGTGTTATACATGAATCTAAAGTGAGAAAGAATAATTTGTTTTTAAAATGTACCCTTTATCATAATGGAAGTGTTTGGTGATGACATTATCAAAGTGTTTCAGTAATAGATTATAGAACATTGTTTTAATAATGACATTAGACTTTATTTTCATGTGAGACTCGATTTTAAGGCCAAAAAAAAAATAAGTGACGTTCATTATTTGAAGATATTTTCATTGCTTCTTATTTTAAAATTTTATTTTTCTGTTGATAATGGCATGCAGTTACAACTTACCGTTTTGAATACGTTGGACATCATTTGCGTTCTGTCTTACATTAGTATCACTATTTGCATTCTGAGTAGCAATTTCGGCTTGCACTGTATCTATTTCCAGTTTCTAAAATGATACATAAATTTCTTGCCAGATATATCTGTTTTTTTTCGAACATTCACTATATCAAATATGACTCTAGTTCTTATTCCTTTCTGATTATAGCTTTACAATTGAGTTTAAAGATGAATCTATGCATTTGTTGGAAAATAAGCTACTCATTCATAAAAAGTGTATTTCAAATGCTTTTCGTGAAGATAATGTTATTTTTACATTTGATGAAGATGTACAGTTATCAATAGGAAAATCATGACTAACCTTTGTGTTTGTATCCAAAATGTATCGCTTTTTTCTAATCAATAAACTAGCCGCTGTATCGAGAACGTTTTCGATCAGTGATTTAGTTGAATGATGTGTTGTCAACTTTTCACAATCATCATGTAAACCTACAAAGAAATACATTTTTGTTTAAATCATGTCTACGTACAATAATAATAAACCTTTGAAAATAATTTGTCCTTTTCGATAGTGTCCAGCCGTTTCGATAAAACAGACATCATTTACATGAGTATATTCAGGTGATTTGAAAACCGCTGACTGAGGTACTGTAGAAATAGTACAACTGTTTTCCCATTGTACAGCGCAAAAACTATGATGATCGACAGTAACTTCTTTTGCATTTGTATTCGAGTCCAACACTAAAATTAAATCGATAATTGAAATAATAATCAAATAACAAGAGACAATAAAACACATGTTAGTTACTTGATATAGCATATACAGGTCTCAAATGATGGACAGTTCGAAGATGACTATGCAAAAGTTTTCCAGTAGATTTGTAGTGAATATATGTAGCCGGACTACATACAAGCATATGTACTGGAAGATTCTGGTCAATATTGAAACGATTTCGTAGTTCATACGGTGTATCTTTTTCAATATTAATGCCGTTTAGCTCGATGATTCGATCAAAATTTTTAATGCCTGCTTGATAGGCCAGACTTAATTCCCAATTATTATAGAACTCGATATAATGAAAATGTTCTTTTCGATGATAATATACACAAAAGCCTAACTTCTGTTGTGGTACTGCGCGTTGTATAGTACATAATCGAATATCATCTTTCTCATAAATTAAATCAATATTTTCATCAATAGATGCTGGATCTATAACATATATCATGAAATAAAAAGCTATTTATGAAAAAAATTTCTATAAATTCGATGTCAAATGATCACTAGAAATGTCGATTCTTAGCTGCTATGCAGTATTACGTATCTAAAAAATTTCTAAGGTACATCTATGAAAAGATTTTTCTAGTGTTTAACAAATGTTTTTGTTAAATTATTTTCGTAAAATTCTATAATCGGAAATAATATATGAATTCAGCAAAAACTATACAATTAGAGTGTGAGTGTGGATGTCACGTAAGAGATCATTTCTACTCACTGCACCTACACCCACACACTTCTTTCGAATGTCTTCTTATTTTAAGTTTTTCGTTGATTTATGTCATCATGTAGGGAGTTATCTTAAACTAACAGTGGTAGTTTTCCGTTTTGTTTAATTTTACTCTTTAGTTTTATCAATAAATTGAAGAAGACTTTGTTCAGGACTAAACACGAATCCGGATGCATAATTCAAGTTCAGCGCATTTTCAGTCATAACGTGTAGGAACAGGTCGGAGAAAATTTGAATTTCTTTTTAAATAAGTTTTCGGAAAAATACAAAACAAGCTTTACTATATAGGTTTGTTTCTGCATATATATGAATGAATTTTATTTTGAAATTTTTCTTCAGGTACAAGAAAGTTTTTTTTACTTCTCAACATCTACTCATTTGATAGAAGATAGTCGAACATATTAACTACGTGAGAAAAAAACAAAAAGACTCGAAATCTTTGCTCGAAAAAGAAATTCTCTTACTGAGCTAAAAATTCATATGAACAATGAAAAACGTAAATGGCATGGCGAACTTAAACTTCAGTTATTTTGTGATCTCTATGAAAATTTGCATTTGTACCTCTCAAAAAAAATGGAGAATGATATTTTTATTTACCATAATGCTCTTCAATCCATGATTGAATTATTCTAGGTGGATCGAAACCCCATCCAAACATTTGTTCAATTTTACCTCCATTAGAAAGGTATTCGATCAACCGGCCAAACTCTAAAACATTAATATTTGCACTTGAATGCTGATCTTCCAATTCCTTGAGTTTGCTAACAGGCACAAGAACATAACGCCATACTGGTCTGCCTTTTTCTATGCCACGAAAGACATATACCAACTCACCCAACTTTTGTTCTGTTACAATTGCTTTAGGTCTATCTTCATAACTTGTGAGTAAGTTCTACAAAAATAAAATAGAAATAAACTAAGATCTTTGATTTATTCACGAGAAGAATCAAATGTTTTGTATTTTATCTCAATTAAATAATAATACTTTGTATTGTTTTGATTTTTTTAAAATTCTTTTTCGTATTTTAGTAGAGTCTGCAAGAAGTACATGAATATTCACAAAAAATTGCATTGGTTAATTTATGATTTAATCTAAATTTTTCTTGATTAATTTTTTCTGAAATAGAATTTTACCTGTAATTTTTCGTATAATTTCGTCATCGAACAATATACAATATATTTACGTCTAAAAGAATCAAGATAACAAAAATCAAAGAAATAATGATTCTTCGATGAGTTTTATTATACATAGACATAGTTATGAATAATCAACTGACGAAAAAGATAGTTTATGATATGAAGGAAAAATTGTATGTTCTCGTTGACAAACAAATAACCTTGACGCGTCTGTTATTTTTGTTTTTCTACTTATTTTGTCAGTAAAAGATAAAACATAATCATTTGCTTATAATAATCAACGAACTGTCAGATTTTTACCATGTAGTATTATGTCTTTGATGAGGATAATTGTTTTTTAAAATCATATGATGAAAAAAGAAGCGTTAATAACCCAAGTAAAAAAAAGAAATAGATATTTATGCAAATATTTTGTTAATGGTATGCGAAGCGTATGGAGTACGACCGCATACAAGGATATTCTTTATTTGATCATAAAAACATATTTCTTTTTTCAGTGAAAAGGAAAAGAAAAAAAAAAATAATCAAAACACATGTTGAAAATGTATTTTATTTGGTGATTCATTTCGTGTAGGATATTTTTTAAGGTTTTTTAATCATTTTTATATGCAGTCCATAAAGAGAAATTCTCTGTTTTGTGTTACGAGAAGAGTGTGATTGTGCATGTGAAGTTTAGACAAAGAAAAGAGTCTAAAACACACACCCAATCCTTCATTATGTTTGTTTTTGATAAGAGATGCAAAAGAATAAAAACTGTATTCGTTTCTTATCAATTTCTAAGATAAAGAGAAAATAATATCTTTCAACTTCCTTTTTTTTTATGCATGTACATTTATTAGAACATTAATAAGAGAAGATAAAAATATACCAGAGCATATAAATATATATCGTCTAAAAGCTAGTTTTTGCACTTCTTTTTCTCATTTCTTGTGTTGTGTTTAGAGTCCGTACTATTTTAATTCTCATCAACACAAGTAAACGTATGAATATCTTCGTAGTTTCATGAGCAAAAATATGAATGATCATGGGTGGAACAGTTAGTATTTGATTCGATATTTCCAAGGTTATCGAAAGTAAAATATTCATCAGTATGAAATATTACAATTATTATTCAATATGGTACATTGCTAAGTAATGAAACTCTTCTTGATACGGCCACTTACATTGATACATGCTTATGTAGGTATTTAACTTTCATTCAAATAGAATTGTCTAAGAATGATTGATTGGTAAATTATAAACAGTAGTACCCTTAGCAAATCGGTTAACATCTTGCTATTAAACACTAAACTAAAAGAATAGACTACCTATTGCTTAGTTTCTATTGATTCATCTAATGAAGTTTTGTTTAGAAAGTCAACCTTTCTTTTTGATTTTGTCTGCACTATTAGACTAATTGACTATAGAATATGTAGGAAATATTGAATATTTTTTTTTTAATTTCTTTTTTGAATATAACATTTTGTTCTAAAATCCGTGAAAAAAAGGGTACGTAAAGAAAAAATCATGAAAAGAGAAAATTTTCACGAATAAATTTGCAACTAACAAAATTTTTTTTCCGTGTCAGCAATAAGTGTCTTTAATTCTACAGTTCTCTCATCTTCACGTTGGTCGTATTCTACCAAAACTTGTAGTGCTGATAAAAATTGTTCAAAAGCAAGTTTAAATTGTCCAAGTTTATTATGCACATGACCAACATTTGTATGATAGTCAACTAATTCCAAATGATCGGGTGTTAAACTTTTCTTGCCAATATCCAATGCTTGTTGAAAATATTCAAGCGCTTTTGCATTATTGCCTATTTTATCATACACAGTACCTATATCATTCAACGTTGTTCCAATTGAAGGATGGTTTGCTAGTAATTTCTGTCTTTTATTCTGTAAAATCTGTTCAAACTTTTCTAAAGCTATTGTATTATAACCATAGTCTGCCATAAGTTTGGCTTTGAGACTATCCACTTTAGATTTCAGTAATAGATTTTTTATTGGTAATGAATTTAACTTTTCTTCGGCTTGTCTTTGTTGTTCATCTGCAGCTCGACTGTCACCTGATGCTAAATAAGCCAAACCAAGACTACAATGAACAGCAATAGCTCGAGGACTATTTTGATAACCCAAACGAAAATAAATATCAAGAGCTTTCTCATAAGATTCAATAGATTCATTGAGCTTATTAGTATCTTTGTAAATGAGACCAAGTAAATTGTAAGCATCTCCATTTCCTATATCATTTGGTGGAAGTTGTTGAATCATCCATTTAGCATAACCTTTAGCTTTATCAAATTCACTCATTCGAAAAAGAAACCAACCAAATGACAATGGACCTGGCTCCGATTTAACTTGTTCCAACATATGATCTAACAAGTTTTGACCAAGTTGATTTTGCTCATTACTTAGTTCTAAATGAATATGCCATATATTATCATGTTTTTTCACTGATTGAACTTTGAAAATAGCACCCATTGAAAAAAGTACTTCTTTTTCATCTGAATTACACGAATGATGTTCTACAAATGCAAATGGCGTCGTTTCTTTATTTATATTATAAACATCAATTATGAAATACACAGATTGTAGTGCTGATGATTCATTCAATTGATCACCTGGAATTGAATATAGTGCAGCTACCTCTGAGTTCAATGTAGCACTTAAGAAGCTATTCATCGAAATAAGTTCATTTATATTCTGTTGAAGGTGTTCGAGTTCTGTCATACTTAAAACTTGACTACGATAAACTGTGAAATGATGATTAGATTGAAAAGAATAGTTATTTAAATATTCATGGTAAAGTTTTTCGATTTCATTCTGAAGATCATTGATGAAAAATCGAAATTTAAATATAATTTCCATATCTTGTGTACGTAAAGCTTTATTTAATAATCGATATAGAAAACTATCATACGTATACCACCAAACTGCTCTTGTTGTGGAATAATCTTTTTCAAAATCATTTATTTTTCTCTTTTGAGCGTTATTGTCATGATAACTTGCTTGACATGCTGTAATCATATCCGCTTTTGCATTACCATATTTTACCATTAATCGAAGAACTCTTAATATTAAACGATACCATATAGATGTTACACTTTCTTTACTTAAATTTTGTAATGTTTTATCTCGTTCAGAAAGATGAAATATACTCATTGGTATATTATTATCTTTATTATAAACATCGACATCATCAGATAATTTTTGTAATAGTTCTTTTGGTTTTGTGAAAATACCAGAAACTTTTACAATTGATTTAGACCATATTTCTGCTGCTTTTTGATCACGACAATATATGTATATTGCTTGTATTTGTGGTAATTCATATATAAGTGGTACAATAGCTTGACCAAATGAATTAGAAATAATAAGAAATACTTTTTTTTCTATCAGTTCTGTGGTTATATCATCAATACATTGATCTGGATTAACAAATGTCTCTAAACAACCTCTACCCAGTTGTCGTATACGTCCTCTTATATCTTGACTTCGTCTGTCGGTTTCAATATGACTATCCAACCAGACTATATGACAGTCATTCGTTATATTGTTGATGTTTTCATTTGCCATGTTTTTGCACACACCTGAGTAGAAAAATAAAGTTATATTGATTTTTGCTTTTTCATTTATGATGCATCTGATTTTCGTTCTCTTTCTTCTTCTATGCTTTCATTCGTTTTCTGCTAAAGGTGAAGGCAATCATAGATTGCATCTTTGCGTTGACTATTTTTTTTAATATTTAGCTAGAAACTTTGATATGGGTGTATGAGTTTTGTTCTCTTTCCTTTATGATTTACTTTCTAAATATATATCCAACTCTTTTTGACTTTTTCTCATTTCTTTCTTGGAAATTTTCAAATTAAAATGTATTCAACTGTGTATGCATAACTATCGTTTTTGTGATACACACGACGATAAGCTCGATTCTTTTAGCGAACATAAAGCTTGTTTGTTTTAAATTTCACAAGAAAGCTACAATAATGTAAAAATGTGTCTCGGGACGTAATAGTTTACATTTATACATCACACAATTTAATACATTTGCATTATTATTGAACTTCTTGACAATGTAAAAAATTAAAAGAAATATTTATTATACTTTGAGTAGTGAAAAAGTTCTCGAAATATATACTATCTTTGCATAGTTCACGCAGTTCTCTATTCATAGGTATTGTAACCGATACTCTAAAACTTTTTCTGCCAAAGAATTAGCTATCAATGAATTTTCTATAATATGACATAACAGGTTTCCTATGATCATACTTCATCATGGACTATGATTTTTCAGAGTGAGGTTCTCAAGTTGAAAAAGAACATCTAACATTTGATTATCGTTCTTGTTGAATGTAACATTCATATTAAGAAGAACGTAACCCTATATAAATTATAATGAAAAGAATACTAATATACTACACATTTGATTGTCGATGAGTTGATTGGCGACTTGACGTTTTTCATGACTCTTTTTAGTGTTTTTCATGTTTCGAGAGATTTTGAAATGAAAAAGATAGTCAATGATGGTAGAGGACTATCTGATAAGAAACTACACAAGCCATGCAAAATAAAGAAAAAATCTAATTATAGTACGATTGAAATCAAATTCTGTGTTCCTGATGGATTTGAATCTCAACAATCACACAAACGCGTTTTTCTCGAGGGCGTGGGTAGGAGTCTTCAGTTTAATCACACCCACACCCAACTCCCAACCTTTTAGGAACGACTAAAATGAATCTCACTAGCACCTACTTTATATGATTAATAGAAGAATACATCCTCAATAAAGATCGCCAAATCATCGCTCGCTACAGTTTAGCACCTGATATAAGCATATTAAACGCAAGCCGCACCCAACTTATTTTTTATAACATTCACATAAATATCGGATGAACTTGTATGCATACCATTAATAAGAGAAACATATAGATAGACCTATTCTTGTATAAGACCGTAATATTCATGTGTTCGATAAAAACTTGTGAATTTTGGTACTCGATAATACAATTAACAAATAACCCTGCCGGAAAAAACCAAGAGTTAAAATTCTTTCAACTTGAAATTAAAAGAAGTCGATTTATTGGAAAAAAGTATATATTTTTTTGAACAATAAATAACAAAATTAAGATTAGAAGAAATCATCCGTATTTTGACGATGTCTCTTCAGAAATACGACCAATTCAGCTAAAAATTTCAGAAACTATATAACTCATTATCCTCTACAACATATCAAAGAGTCAGTCAATTTTGAGATATCACTTCATTGTTGATGTCTGAATCTATCAGAAACTCACTCTGAAACATCATATTTGAAAAAATGAAAAGCTTATTGACTGATAAACAACTCGATATGCCTCATAATTTGAGGATGTAGGCGTTGATATGGACTACAACAAACTGATGGCCACACTCATATCCACATCATACTTCTGTATTGTATTGAATAATTGTCTGCAACTGTTTAAGATTATGTATTAACGCTAAACAAATGCAGTGATACATCCACATTAATATCAAAATTTCATTTTAAAGCGCAAGCGTATTAAACAGTATTAATTTACATCAATACCGAATCTAATGTAACACGCTAATTTTGACGAAATCTAGTTTGATTCGATCTCTGTTTCTAACTGACTATATTAAAATTTGTTCTCTAAATCCCTAGCGTATCTGTTGTAATTTCATCACAAATATAAATTTTGAACAATTGCCGGTCATCTTGAATATTTTAGATGAGCATGCGTGGTAGTTTAAAATACACAAGTAATAAGGAAAATTCTTCAGCTGCTTCCTTCTGATTTCAATGAATTTTTCCCTATAGATACTAAATAGTGTTCTGATCAAAAGCTAAAAAAACAAGTTCTGGATTCATAATAACATTTGAGCACACTACGTAATTTCGCTCTGAAATATTGCGTATAAAAAGAGCACAACTAGACCAGCTTCCATAAAAAAAAATTCAGAAGTTTGTTAAGAAACTAGTCTAGTTGAGATGAACAGGTATGAATATTTGGATTTTGGTTTCCTAGAACAAGAAATACGTCCATATCCAATCCAATATGGTTGCGAATAATGTAACTGCACACTAATATACAATAATTTCATTATGACTGAGCAGAGAAAAAGTCAAATTCTGATGAAAACCTATGCACTACTCAAGGGCATAAAAAGTAGAGAGGGACTGATTGACTTTATTCATTCGATGTGTACAAAGTTCAATAAGAGTATTGTATTACTAGAAATTCTATTTAAGAAAGAGGCCGTATAAGTATTCGTAACATAAAAGAAATACTACGCGGAACGACAACCAAAGAAATGCCGCCCCATCTAATGTTCTTCGGTCATTTTCTATTCTGTAAGAAAAAGCAGGTAAAATATGTAGAATATCAAGATCATCAAGGCAACGCAAATAAAAAATTACAACATATTTTTTTCTAAAGAAATATAGATTTGTCTGACAGCAGCTCCTATCAATTTGATTCAGTTAAGTATAATTGGAATGGTAAGATGCCAGTATTGAAAAAAAATATCTCACATGAAATAATTATTTGCATGTATAAAGAAAAGAGAAAAAAACAAGTTCTGTATAGTAGTAGTCCGTAATTCGTTCTTTTTATATATTATTCAAAAAATTGTCAATACAATCTCTTACAGACTGAAATGTAGAACTGACATGTGTTCTTGAGCCTCATTATGCTAATAGAAAATGCATTAAATGAAAAATTTGTAGTAGACTAACACTAGTTTTTGAGGGATAACCGATTGCTAGAGAAACGCACTCTCTTATTTATTTCTGCGTTTCAAAAAAATACTTTCTTTAATTTTTTTTACTGATGCTCGTGTTTTTAGTTGACCTTGTTGTTGTTCGCTCGTTGTTTTTCATTTTCATTTTCATATTCTATTTTTCTTTATTTATAACATAATTATTGCTCAAACCATTGATTTAACTCAGCAGGCCTCACTACACTATTATATGTCGCAATAAGCTCAGAGACATGGGTATTGACTATTTCTTAAAGTTATAACTTCATCAAGTCATGTTTTTTATGTTAATAGTATGACAACGATGATCTGTACTATTTAGAGCATTTACAAATGTATTTCGGCCATTCAACGTTTAAGGAAGCCTTTTTTATTTTCTGAACAGTCTATTTCATATCGCTAAAACCATTTAGCTTCTTTTTCCATTGTAAGAGGATTCTGGAAGAGGAATATAACTCATGTTGTTTTCGATTGTTATATAAAATATGACCACCACATCGATGCGAATATGTCTGATGTCCTTCAGTAATAGTTCTGACATTTTTTTTACTAAACTTTTTAGACTTTGTGGTACAAATTTTTCGATAGATCTACAATTTAATTTGTGGCTACATACTACTAATTAAAAGGTTAGTTCTTACTTATGTATTTATTTATAGACGTGGGTCAATCAATCTGAGATGTGTTATAATTGTAAGAGAGGAAGAAAAAATCTGTTTTCGTACTTATTGTAACCAATATTAGATTAGCCGCCTGTTAACATTGTTTCCTAAACTTGATATTGCTTATATAGTTTTCTACACTAGTAAAAAAAAATGAGGTCTAATGAATTCTACGAATTCTAAAATCTATCTTATGATTGCTTCGATACGTGTGCTGTTCATGTATACTGAATAGATAGTACAGAGAGGCTATTCTAATTTTCCAAAATCGGAGAGAATCTATCGAGCGTACCAATTTGATCCGATGCAGAATCATACTTGAATTGGTATTTGAAATACTTTCCAAATGAAAAAAACCAAAAAAAAATTTTAAACATTTTTTAAGATCAAAGATTTGATACTCTAAATACATATAGACTAGCAAGGCAATCTTTTCAGGTACTCCCATCCGATATCGGTGATTTTTTTTTACCTATAGATATTGTTCAATGTGCTAGTAAAAATCTTGAAAGAATTTGGATCCCTCTCTCATTCTTCAGAAGTGATAAACATTCTAATTTTGTCTCCACAGTGCATAATATATAGTGTGGATCATAAATAGTAATATGATAAAAAAAAATGAAATATATATATACATTGATTCAACTGTGAATGGGCTGATTTTTTGGTTACTGGTAGAAGTTTACTTCAAGGTTTTTTTTCATACGAATAAGATAACCAAATATTACCATTATTATTATGATGGATATAAAAACAATTTAACCAACTATCAAGTAAAACAAACATACGTTTATCGTTTTATAGATGATTTTGAGTCGTTATGTAAGAGAATAAGAGAAACACGTCAAAAACAAACTTTATGAATGATTCTCTATTGATCTACATACAGTAAGTTTTCAAAAGTAGTTAGTTTAAAGTCAACGGTTACAAAATTTTGAATCTTCAAACATAGAATACGGGTTTTTGCGAGAGAGCTGGCGTTGTGATATTTAAAAAGCTACAATTATGTGTCGTACTTATAGGGCACGAACTTCAGTATTAAAATTGATTAGTTTTAAAAACTTGCTTTATGTACATCAATTCAGAATAATACATAAAGTTCGTTTTGTCCTTAGTTTTTATTCTTTTAGATGACAGCTCAAACTCATCTATTATGAAAAGCGAAACATTTATTTTCTTTTAGTTGATAGCAGGTAAAATTGCTTTTATGCTACCAATAATGATAATCAATGGTAATATTTGCTTATCTTATCCGCATGAAAAAAGCCTTGAATAAACTTATACCAATAACCAAAAAATCAACCAATTTGATTGAGCCGATGTACATATATTTCATTTTTTATCGTAGTGCTATTTATGGTCCACACTATATGTTATGTACTATAAAGGCAAAATTAGAATGTTTATAATTTCTGAAAAAAGTGATAGAAACCCAAATCTTTTGATATTTTTACTAAAACATTGAACAGTATCTATACACAAAAAAATCATTGAAAATGGAGAGGCACCTGAAAAGGTTTCTCTTGTTAGCCATATGAAACGAGTTAATTCGAATTTCAGTCTAGATAAATCATAAGGACAAGCTGTCTTAAAATTCTTCAATTCATAAAGAAGTTTTTCAACGAAAAACTCCTTTCATAGAATTACACATCAATAGTTGTACAGAATATTCACTATTGTTCGAGTATACTTAACGCATACCAAAATTTGTAGTTGCAACACGATAATATATTGTAGAAGACACGGGAAAGTTGTTTCTATACATTTAGTAAGAATTCAAAGAGTGCTCTATAATTCGATGATAATTTATCATTTCTCGATCGATGTGACAATACTAAAATTTTAACTAAAGTCGTTTTCACCTGTGAGTATTGATGAACATTAGGAGAGAGAAGTTAATCTTACGTCAACACTTACAGTTTAACGGAAGATTCGTGGTTTTGATCCTTTCCTCAACAAATGGCTGTCGAAGGAAAATCATGATTTCCACAAAATTTGATCAAAGGCTTTCCAAGTCGAGAAATCCGAACCTGTAATTGGCCTCTCAGGGCGGTATAGGTAATCTTTCAGTCAAGTTTCCAAAAAAGCAGGCTTTTCTTGACCACGACTTATACAATGTGGAGAAACTGATGATGGATGTGGGTGTGGACGTTGCAGTCATATATCCACTCTCTTTCACATTCATCTATTTACATACACATCATCACTCCACCCACACCCGTCATGCCCTCGAAACTAGTCTCCTTCCTTTTTTCCATCGGAAGTTTGTTCAAAAAGATGAGAGCATCGAATGAATACAAAAGACTAGGAAAGATGACAGAGCAAAATGAGAGCAAGAAAAACAACCTTATAGCAGAAAAAGTAGAAAGGAAAGTGACGATGTCGGAAAAGTTTTCTTAAGTTCTGATATACGGTACATAGCATTTGTTAAGAAGAAGAAAATGCATTAGTAGTCTCCATCCATTATTTATTTTATGTTGCTCCCTTCCCTTGGCAAAATTTATACGACAACAAAATGATACCATTGAAAAGTGCTACTTACTAAATAAGTAAACTTAAAGACGATTATAAGTTTCAGAATGTTTTTTTAATTCTAGAACAGGATATATATGATTCCTAGAGAAAGACTTCATGTATCAAATGGTGTATAAAGCATCAGTTTCTGTTGCGTGCCCATAGTTGAGTTACATTTGACTCGGTTTTACACGATTTGGATTGTGGCATGGTATTCTAAAACCAGAATCGGACAGAAGTGAGTCAAATCTCACACAATTACGCGTATGCAACAGAATTTGATGATCTATGCACCACCAAATAGACAGAATCGTCCTCACTAAATCTATGTATACGTTGTTCTGCGGTCAAAACCTGATACTCGTCTTTGTTGAGAAACGGATGCATATAGATCATCCGAAAGCAGTTTCAAATAGTAATATTACTAAGTTATGTAGGACAAACTGGTGGAAATATCAGAGACTGTCGTTAGGCAGCAGCAATACTGTACCATGTCATAATGTGACGGTGCAACTTTATGACCCGTGATTTATTGTAGTGCATTGCATTGAAAGCCTCTGTTGCAAGGACTCTTCTCTTCCAAAACAAAAGAAAACTGTTTTCTACTCTTTATCTTAGGAATATTTGCTATGTGTTTTTTTTCGATCTTCACTATCGAATTCAACCTTTCTTGTCTAATTTTGTCAATTTTTTCTTTAATTTTCATCTTTCTGTTATCATGTGTATGAAAGAGAAATGAAAGCGAACAACTAAAATGGTTTGTTCAATACTGATTTCGCTCGGTTAGTGTCAGTTTGAATACATCGCTATTTAATATCTTGAAATCTTGTTATCGATACTAACTTTTTGTTTTTATAACAAGTACATTGCCAAATACTATTTTTGAGATTGAAGTATACCAAGAAGAAAGTATTAGAAATATTCATATCAGTGAGGTTCGATCCATGCTCTGGAAAACAGAAATCCGTAATATGTGCCATGGTTGAGCCTTGAATAACCCTTCTGCTCTCACTCTCAGTCTAGACTTGGTCCTATTTAGCCTCTTTTACCCTCACCCTGATTCTGATCTCTTTCACTCAGCATAACTCCTTTGGCCTCTCCTTTTAAAGCCACACTATTTTATGCCACAAGTATTGAAAGGTCGTTTTCTGAAATAAAGTTTATAATTGAGATAAACTTTTATCTTTTGCTTTTGCCTAATGCGTCCTTATGTTATTTGAAAATTTCATTTTTATTTGAACTCGAATTAATCAGCTACTCTTACAAACTTAACGTGGTAATCCTACAATGAGTCAATGGCGACGACGGTTTATCATTCCAAAATGTCGAGGCAGCATTTTTGGCTGTTGTTGTAAGGATGTACTGAACTTTAATGCTTTAGAAATGAATGATTCGTTTTTCAGTTCCACTATTGCGTCAAGTGCCTGGTGTTGAGAGATTATACCCCTCAATTGCAACTGAAAGCCATGCAAATATGGATGACGAATCGGTACAATTTGGTATTCAAGATGAGACTCCTCTTCATAATATTCCTACTGATTTTGATATATCAAATATTCGAAAGATAAAAATTGCTGATGGATCGTTAATTAACTGTGAATGCGCAATTAGGATTGACAATGATATGATAACGCAATCAGAAGTGTTAGACACACTATTGAGTGGTGCCTTACATGCTCGTGGACAATCGTTAAGGGAACATCGATTATTCAATTTAGATGAGAACGAATTAGAAGCATTGAGTAAAAAATATCGGATAGCGTTCGAGCGATGCACTGTCGAAATGGACCCTAATTTCCAAAACTATGTGTTTAATGTCACCAATTATTGCCGAACACTTCCCATGATTTACGTGGTTGAACATGAAAGAGAAGTAATTGGTCTTTGCATTTCGTCTAGTTCACATTTGTATAATTTGCATCGCGAACTTGAGGTTCGTCCAAATGATGCAGCTGTATTACATTTTAAGCTGGCGTGGCATTATCAGAAAAGTGCAGAAGAAAATGACAATTGCCTAGCTTTATGGCAAACGGCATGTTGCCATTATTCCAAAGTCCTCAAGTGGAAGAAAAACATTACATTAAGGTATCCTGCTACAATAGGTTACTGCAGATGTCTCATACAGTTAAGTAAATGCCATTGTGCAAAGAAAAAATTAGAAAAATAAAGTCGTTCTTATGATTCTGCACAGTTATAGTTTTTATTAGCTAAAGCACAACGAAAAATTGGACATAATAATCAAGCAAAAGAAACTATTGAACAATCTTTCAAGATTAAACGCAGATATAAAGAGGCATTAACAGAAAAAACACTAATCGAATAAAAAGCTAATAGAGAACAAAGACTAGCGAAGGAAAAAACAATGGAACAACAAAGATTAGACGAGGAACGTATACTACTTGAACGTCCAAAATTAATAACAGCGAGTCAAACGAATGAGATACGACGAACTCATGACCGATCGTTGTATAATATTTTGTCAATTGATGGTGGTGGTTTTAGAGGTGTTATGCCAGCTATCTGGTTAACAGCAATCGAAAGAGGAACAAGACGCCACTGTTCATCCATATTTCAGATGTTAGCTGGTACATCAACGGGTGCTATTATTGCTTGTGGTCTCTCTATGCCTCCTGCTGCAAATAATACAGAGCCTATATACACAGCCAGAGATATTGTTTATTTGTATAATAGACATGCATCCGATATTTTTGTTCCTGCAACACGCCGTCGTTTAATTTATCGATGGTGTACGCAATCATCTCGCTATTCGAGAATCGGCCGTGAACTTCTATTCAAGAAGTATTTTGAAGGTGCTTTAATATGTAATTCTCTAACGGATGTCGTCGTACCAGCTGTACAAGCTGATCATACTCGTACTTATCTTTTCACACGCTATGACTCACGAACTGGGAATATTCGACCTGCTTCTATTGTAGATATTCTCATGAGCACTACAGCTGCGCCAACTTATTTTCGACCACATGCATTTGACTATTCGGCTTATGTAGACGGTGGTGTTCAAATGAATAATCCAACCATAGCTGCTTATTCAGAGGCTTTACGATACGGTTGTCGCAGTGAAGACATATTCGTATTGTCCTTAGGTACTGGTGACTATGTTCATGATCCTTTACGTTGGCCAACTGCCAGTCGTAACTGCTGTTTTTGATTATGGAATAGCAAAATTGTTTTAAAAAACCTTTTTGATATTGCACAAAATAATGTAGATTATCAAATGAATTTAATTTTAGGTCAAAATAATTATCATCGTTGGTAAGTATGGTTTGAAGATGAAATACCACTTGACGAATATAGTACGGAAACACAAGAGATTCTAGAAGATCATGCATATACTTTTTTAGAGGAACTAGGAGCTCGTGATGATAATAAACGATTGGGTGCTATATTGGAACGACTGAGCTAAAATACTAGGTTCATCTTTTATAAATTATATCAAACACGTAAAACATTTCATTGAACTACGACGATATTTAATTGTATTATTTGCATGTAGATTGTACGATTTCAACGTCAGCCGACCACATAAAAACTACCATGTGATGTTATTGGTTTAGTACCAATTACACTTCCGAAATATTCAAATAATATTAGAAAATACAATGTAATTAATAGAATTTGTATTTGTGTCGACATAAAATAAGTGGAAAGAATATTTGAATGTATTGCGAAAACTGTGTAAATGATGGTGCTGAGGAATATTTTTTCAAAAATTGTTAGAAGACGAATAGTTTGAAATAGATTGGGTATGGGTGTGGATATCCATGCTTGCACACCCACATCATACACACTACTGAAAATACGATCTACTATTGCTTCATGCGACAGTATAGATTCAATTTAATTTCTGATTCATTCGTGGATCGAAACGTCTACCATCTGAAGATCCTGATTGCTTAGATGAAATGTTGACATCATGGTAGGTCTGCACACTCACATTTAAAGTTGAGCTTATTCTGGTATATTCTTACTCAGAGATTCTTCTAAAGTCTTTTGTTGTCTATATTTATTTGTCTAAATTTTGCAACTATAACAGGCAAATATTCTCAGATACCAAGTTACATTCGTTCTAAGAAAATAAATAGGCAAAAACTATCGTTTCATTTTAAATCGAAGCAAATATTCATGCCAGATAGAAAATAGATTACTGTGTTCCGGCAATATGCTCCGAGTTGAAGTTATTAATAGTGTGCACTAACATCCACAGAGAATACAGTTGAAGTTAGAATAGCATATTGCAAGTGACACATATATGCATAAGGTCCAGGTTCTGGAAGACCCCATGTAAAAGAAAGGCAGCTGCTATTACAGATGCACCAATTACAGCACATTGTATAATCACTCAAAGTTGCCCACGTTAAATCATCACCAAATAAATCGTATCTATACAGAATCGTCATGTTACTGCTCATAAAAGAAGTTGTTGTATCTGAAGAGAGAGCTGATGTTAGTAAAAGTATCAGATGATCAATTCATGTATTCAGGATAGCTTAGTGAAATGGTTATTAAAAAAAACAATTTCAAGGAAATTCAATTCAGTTGTTTAAAAAACAACAGTTGAAAATTGATTTAAATATAAAAAGAATATAGAAATGAATGGTCTATTTTGTGCTTTAGTTGGATTGAGTCAGGAAATTGATTTTATTGCTTTTTAGCTGTTTGCACATGTTTTATTGAGCAACTCAAATGTTAGCATTTATAGCTAGGGTAATAAAGGTGTCGTATTAATTTCTTTTTAGAGTGAGTGTGACACTGCTTATCAAAATTAATTTCAGTTTGTGTTCTGATGTATGTGAGGAGTTTGTCTTCATCCACACCCGAATTCGCACCTCTACACCCTTAACGATATCCTCACAACCACGTACACATCTTACACATTCACTCAGACACGGAACAAAATGATAAATTAAACGGAAACCAACAATTATACTTTTTTGAAACAGTCACCCGATAAATTAAGACAATAAAAACAATTAGAACTATGAATCATTAACTAATTATCAGTAAAATTTTAACAAGGTGGATATGCCAGTGAGTCCACTCACTTATAGTTTTTGTTGAAATAGGAAAAAATAATCAGATTGATAATTAAATAATTCATAATTAATTTCAAATCGTTATGCTTCTAAACAGTGATTATTCTCAATCGGTATTATTTCGAATGAAATTTATAAGATTCGTATAAAAACAAGCATTTTCAAATATTGCGGTGGCTTCTATGTTGAAACTCGTTTGAAAATGAGGGTTAAACTATACAGCAACAACAAAAGTACCTTGATTCCACCGCTTTTCTTGCTGATACATAAAAGATAGAATCAATCAAACTCACTAGCCTAACTAATTGCGATAGATATTTCAATATATTTATCTATCTAGCTTGCTTAGGCATTATACTTGTCATCGATAAAATGTTCGTTGAAGAAGAATGAATCGATTCTATTTCATAGTTTAAAACCTTCAGTAATATACTGAAAGCATTTCGTGCTGGTTTTGAGTTCAATGCGAACGTTACGAAAGGAGAACGATTGGACGAAGATCATTGTTTGTTAAACAGATAGTTTGAGAACAACTCATCTGTCTTATTACCTTGAGTTGTAGTCGCCATTGTAGTTCTAATTGTTGTTCTACTGCTGCTACTGGTCGATTCTCTTGCAATGGTACTTGTTATTGTTTGCTGTGTATATATCTTTTTGAAAAATAAACCTGAACGCGTTACTACTATCCACACAGTAATTGCAACAACAATCAACACAAAAATAACTAACTAAGATGGCCAAGTAGAAAACCAAGCCTTTGTCTTTGCTTCTTACTTTAATGAGTTCACATTATACGTCAGTTTAACTATATTTTTATACTTACACAGATCGCGTTGTCACGAACGAAGTACTTTCCATCGTTGAGTACTGATGTTATCCAACGAAGCAAAACAAAAAAAAAATTTGATAATCTCTCATCTTGATTAATCGATTTTTCTAAATAGGTTACACTTGCCTGATTCTAATAATCGTCGATTGATTAAAGTCTTTTAAATCCAAATGATGAAGAAAGAATAATTATGAAAAAAAAATGAACAATTATTCTAGACATGAAATATCTCATTTGAGAAGCGCTCGCATATAGCAAGATGGAATCATAGAAAAGACTGGTTCATAGGTACATTTCTATTATTCAATTACAAATAAAAGTACATGAATATTTTTGAAAGATTCCTGGTTCTATCGTGATAGAGAGCCACAATCTTCCGATTCAATATTCAAAATTGTTTATTTCGCAGTTTACCAATCAAATTGAGTTGTGACCAACATTTTCAAAAACAATATTATAGAGCAATTTTATTTTTGATATTGTCAAATACTGTAGGACATTTTATAGGTAAAATACTTCAATTTTTGTTCACAGAAATTCGATACTTATGAGGATATACTTGAAAAAGAGTCTTCGATTCACTGTCGCTCACTCATCTACATCCTACTTCTTTTACACTCACTTACAGACATTTTTTCAAACTTTTTCGTACGAGCCCTTACAATTAAGCTGAAATAATCAAATTATACACAGAGAATAGCGTAGATTACCAAATTAGGGTTTATATAGACAGAAAAAATCGATGAAAGGTTTCTGTGTTCAGAGAATCTCTCATTTAAAATTGAATAACTTGCTATAAGTTAGCCCTATGGTTCGATAGACCAAATCTAGACGTATAACCTTGCAAGTTTTTTCCATCAAGATTAAACAGTATTTTTGGCAGAATACTACGACGAGTTCCTATACAAGAATCACTCATCAAAATTCGTTGTATCCATTGACAACTATTTTTCTATCGGATTTTTCAATCTATACACTGCTGAGTAAATGCTTTTGATTGAAGAACTCTTAGAAAAGATTTTTCTCTCGTAAAAAGTACTGTAATATATTTCTTCCTGCCCCGAACATAAATGTACTTTTTTCAGATTTATTAATGACTAAGAACTAAAAACTAGAACTTATGTCATTAACCAATATAATTCATGAATTCTGTAGGTGAAAATCACTATGGAAACTTAACAAAATATAAAGAGTAATTTCGGATCGGTACTGATTTTGGCTTTTTGTCATTTCATAGTGGAATAGAAATCAGTCTTCACTAGTTAAAAAACTCAATTGCCTACATGTTTTGAAATATGCTTTCGATAATAATATACAGACAAATAGACTGCAGGTACTTCACTGTTTTATAGAAAAAAAAACCATACTCTTTTAAATCGAAGAATAAGCATGACAATTTTTATTTCATCAATTTAAAAGTGCAGGAACTATAACCAATGATTCCATCAATATATTAAATTGCTGTATAGTTTTCCTATTGTTATTTTAGCGCTATATTTTTGTAGCTTTCGCAGACAATTATTTCAATATCTTAATAACTTTTTTTGCGCAGTTCTCTAACTCTTCTTCAACTATTAACGCGTCAGTGTTTCTAGTGCTCAGTAATTTTCTAATTCAACAATTGTTCTTTTTTTCACTAGGAGATCCATCCATTAGAAGAAATTTCATTGAATAATTAAAATATTTGCATTAACGAATAGCGTCATTTAATTGTTGTTTTACTTTTTCTTGTTAACTTTTAAAATATATTTGAAGTAAAACATTAGGTAGCTCACATTTATGCTCTTGAAGAAATGGATAAATTGGTATAAGTGTGAATACATACATGTGTGTGAACTTTGACATTGGGTTGCTTTTTGAGTTTCGTGTTGATGTGAATGATAGTGTTGTCTTTGCTCAAATATACTACACTTTTATACTTTCACCTAAACTCATATCCAATTCATGCAATGAAGTTTGAACTGTGCATGATTAAGATCGCTCAAAAACATTTGAGTGGAGCAAATCGGTATAACAAGCAGTTGTGAACAACTGAAATATTTTGACACGATCGTCTGATAGACACAGAACATGGAAATAGTCAAAGTAATCAGCCATTGTTCGATTCTGAGTATCATGTGAATAAGGTGGACATTTTAGTGAGCTCATTCTCTTATATTTTCTGTTAAATCGACAAATAATCAGATTGGTCATTGAATAATTTATATTTTCACAGTCTAATGCCTGGAAGATTCTTCAGTGGGGAAACCTGGAAAACTACGAAGGAACCTGTCACCACATGTTTAATAGTGAGAGAAACTGTATTGTGACCAGTAACTTCGCACTTGTTTATGTCGGCATATCGAGAAATTGCTCAATGCCTACTAAAAATGCAAACAGTTGTGCTCGCATTGTTATATATCAACAAAGAGTGGTGGATTGTTCCCATCGTGTTATGGAACAAGGCAAACATACACCCATACGTGTTAGATTTGATTCCTTCTTGAAAACATTTGCATTAAGTAAACTTATAAGCAAATTGCATGTCTGAAGTGAAAATGAGAACAAGAAAATGAGTAAGATGGTGAAAGAATGACAAGACTTTTTTCGTTGTGCTCATAGTGATTCATCAATAATAAAGAAAAAATAGTTGATTTCTTCGGACTGTGCATGAAATAGTGGTTTTTATGCATCCTAAGAATGTTTGAGAAGCAAAGCTGCTTAAATATAAGCCAATTGGTCAAGAAAAATAATGCTAATCATGAATGTTACCATCTTTTTTGTCGGAGCTGTTCGAAATGGAACAAATGTCATTCCTTCCGCATCCAATCTTAGAATCCTGTAGATAAGCTCATCATAATGATCAGTGTCTTATTCGGTATTAAGATAAATCTTAGAGCTAGACAAACATTGTCTGTATACTGAGGATTCTTTATTGTATTTCAATAATTGAATTGTTTGAAAAAAAAACCGTGATTGTTTTTCGCGTTTCGTCATAGAAATAACTTGCCTTGATCATGTTGCTACTGATCAGAGGATCGATTTTGTGTTCGATTCAAATGTATGGATGGATATATGTGAGTATGGATCTTCTCTTCATCCACTACTGAGTTTTTCTTTGAGGACATGTGAGAGACAATCTCCGCGAGGCAGCTATTTAAGCTCTGCTTGAATTAAGGGGACCCCCCCCCCCCCGAAATGAAGTCCCACTTGGGACCCTACGTTTGGGCTGAAATTTTCAGGAATGATTGATCTTAGTGAGAAACGTTTGTGATAAAAATTTCAGCTTGACATGTCCGACTAAAACACAATTTCGGCTGAGTTTCCTACCTTTCGGGAGAATCGAAATAACTCGGTCCAGAGAAGGGATAAAGAGCTCGAGCTGGTTTCAAATTGTAGCTAGCCTCTGTACGCAACTTTTCATCCGACGGAATTTTGAAACTTCCTTCCATTCATTTTTTATGAGTAATTTTGTGAGCATGCTTGCAAAATAAGCATAAAAAAGTGTGATTCTACGACAGCAAATCCCACTATTCTTAGTCCTGGGATTCAATATCAAAAATCCGCCCGATGAAAAGTTAGCTCTAATCAAGACCTTTAAAACAAAAAAAAAATCATGGATTATATGCCTAGCCGAGCGGGAGTTATTTCAATTTTTTTGTCTAGAAACCGTGTTTTGAGAAAAATGCTAAAGAAATTTTGGAGATGGATTTTTTCATTAAAATCCAGAATAAGTCATGTTGCAATGGTGTATTCCACTGGGGCGTCTGAAAGGACGTCACAGATGATGGCAACTAGCACCATCTGACATTGTGATCAGCATGAAAATGTTCTATTCCACGATAATGCTAGTGGAAACGCAATTTTTCTGAAACTGGAACCCTAAAAAACCCATGAAGTTTTCTACAAAAACATGGTAGTGGATTTTAAGTTTCATGCGATAAGTCTTTGATAATCTGATCATTTTCCAAAAAACTGTATATATTCTGAAAGAGGAAGCTTCGTTGCATCTTTCTGTAATAAAAACTCAACTTCAATATTTTGCCAAAAAAATCGATTTTCTGAGGGGGGGGGGGGTCCCCTTAAAAATGAGAATCAATCACAAGAACCTACATGTTTTGAAAAGAATGGAATTATGTATTTCAATTGAGATTGATCATTTTGAACTAAGATTTTAATTAAAATTATATGAAATGAAACTTCAAGGAGCATTGTATGAAATAATGAAAAGATCATGTACGGCTGGATGGGTGTAGGCATGAATGAATAGAAGATCAACCCACCCATACTCACATCTGCTCCATAAGCACAAGTCATTTTGTTCTGACGAGCATCGTTTAAAAGGCTTAGGTTATATTGCTGATCGTTTGAACTCAACAGATAATGATGCCATTTGAAAAATCAAAATTATCTAAAATGATTGATGTAACAATGTGTTTTGGATTCATTACTTATCGTATATCAAACAAATCATCAAATTCAATTCGAATTTGAACGAAATCGTAGGACTGGTAACAATTTTCTTTATAGTAAATAAGAAAATATCTCTTCAGACCAGTCTCTCCCTCAAAAAAGTGAATATTGATCTCAGTTTACGCTTTTTTTGATCGCGCAGCCCAAGGTTCTCTGTTTTTTAATTTAAGGATTATTTTTATTATACATACAAATACTTATATAAATAGAAGCTGTGTGGGTGAGTGGAGAGAAGTCCGACACCCACACTTCATCCATCTTTTGACTAATGTTATACTGAAACTTAAATTATTCTGAAGTAATTTATTGGCCACAGCGAGTTTGTCCGAAACAGCTTTTGAAGAAATCCATATTTTTAGTACTAAATGATGTGTGAAACTCATCATTTTCTCTTAAAGGTTAGTGTCTTTTCTATAAAATAGCATCATAGAAAGTATCGTCGCTAAAATCAGAAACGACTTTTTAGTAGGCTGACTCCATAATATATTCAGCATTGTCATTGATGATGTGCCCTGACGATATAATTGTGAACTGATAATAAAAGAATAATGTAAAATATGGATAGCAGAAACTTCTTTCTATTCTACTGAAGTTTAACTGGACGAAAATCCAGACAGAAAAATAGCAACTAGTGTTTGTTTGAGATTCAGTTTAATCGAAGGTCTGACCCTAGAGCTTGTTGATTACATAAACTCAGGCTTATCTGTGAATATCTCTATACCATAATACTTCAAAACTATATCCGAATGGTGGCGAAAAGCTAATGTTCCATTTTATGTTTGTTATCAAGAGAAATCACAAACAAAAAAGAATCTAAGGATTGATGTGAAACTCACAGTATTATTCGAATCGAAGTTAATGTGGTCTTAAAAATCAATTCCATGAAATTCAGTTCAATGGCGATAACCTCATGCTGAGAAGGAAATAAATCGGCAGCATTACTAGTAAAGAGAAATTTGAAAACTTGTTCGATAACTGCCGTATTCGAATGCTTAAAGTTTTCTCTCATGAAAAAACATGATTTGAACAAATATAATACAAGAACCCCTGGGATATTCTTCGAGATGCATCATAAAAAAGATTTTTGATTCTCAACAAATCTGTTGAACAATGAAAGAAGTGCACTCAAAATTTCGATAATACATTTGTTAGTTTTGTGTTAGTTAAACATCTAAATGCTTCTATTAAAAGATACTAAGAGGTTAGAGGCTCAATGCAAATCAAACTGTCAGTCTAGTTGTCCATCAAAATGAATTGATATGGCTGGTATCAATCACATACTGTCCAATCAGTTGTCGCCGTTTGTATGCATGATGCTTTCTCTTGGCCATTTTCATCAAGTAGTAGTGTTTCGATTTTGTTACCAATACCTAGCCAGCGGTAGAAGAAAATAAAAAGTAGAATAGTTTGATACAATCACATACCCATTGAAGATATATCTTTAAGGACAAGTTCCTGATGTAGGGATGACGAGAAAGCACTTTGATTCGACAATTTTTGAGCAACTGCAGCACCTGATTCCGAATAGATTTTTAGTTCACTGCCTGGCTGAAGTCGAAGTCCATCGGGTACTGTATATTGAAGTATCACCTTTGAATCAACATGCCGTATCAACTGCCATCTTGAAATATCGATAGCTTCACTAGCCGATTGATTCGTCAAACATATGTGTGTGCTATCGAGAGGGCATTCTTTTATAAAAAAACAATAAAAAGAAGAAGTATCAATCAGACTCGTTCTTTTTTCTTCTTCAATTCGGCGCTTACCGATATTAATCGATCCGTGACATTGGCTTTGTACCACGAATTTTCTTTTTGTTGTAATTGAAACTAATGAAGAAGAGGGTATCTCAATCTGTTGCACTGTTACTTGCTTGCTCAATAGATGACGATAAATAATAATTTCACTTTGTAAGCTGATTTTTCTAGAAATAGTGTGCAAAAAGAAAATCAGGTTGCGTGTTTTGACTAGCAGCAAACTTTCTAACCTTCGTCGCATTTCTTCGATACTACTCACCATAGCCAGGATACTTTCCTGTAAATAATCTAAATCACTGGCCTGTGCTGTGAATTGTTCTTCATATTGCGTTTGAATCGTGTTCAGTTCGGATTCTAATTTAGCTTTAATCAATATAAAAAAAATGTTTTATTTAAAAAAAAAGAGAACCAATAGAAAACAAGATATCATATTATACTCACAATAAGTTGCTTCCGTTTCCAGTAGAACTTGTTTTTCAGAAGCGAATTTCTTCTGCACTTCTTCATATTCGCTCTGGAGTTGCTGTTGAATCTTTATATGCGCTTCCTGTTCAACTGGTTGATATTGTGTTATTTGTTCTAATTCGGCTTGTACTTCCTGAGTTTTCTTTTCATAAAAACTGATTGTTTCTTGATGCATTGCTCCATATAATAGTTCGAAATCATGACGTATTTTCTCAATAATTTGTTTCCATTCAACCTTCCAAAATTCAGCAAAATCAGACATATCTGTCAGAAATAAACTGCATTGACTAGAAGCAAAAGGAAAAAATTTCTCCGTGAAATGAAGAAAACAAACAATCGATACTGACTTTGATACATAAGAATATAAAGTCTTGAAAAATTTAATTTGATTCTTCGTCATTTGTACTCTAATCTTTAATTCATGTGTTTGTTTCTTCGAAACGGACCAATCGTTCGCCAATGTCACATACTGCTGCAATGTCTCTTTACACATTGTACGATAACTTCCAACTTTGTTTCCCAATTCTTCATAGGATGTACGTAGATTGACAAGGGCTGATGCAGATTGATTCAATTCTTGTTCTAATTTCAATCGCTGTTCATCGATTGATTGATTTTCAGCTTGGATCATTTGCTGATAGATTTTAATTTGCAGCTGAAAGAATTCAATTTCCGATTCGTAGCTAACTTTTTCGTAGTTGACTGCCATTATATGACTCTGTAGACGATAATGTTCATCATTTTGTTTACCAGTAGTAGCAACAATGAATCCTTGTCGTCGCAAATCGGTCAGTTTTGCAACATATGTTGAATTTTGTGATTCCAATTGTTCAACACGATCAATCATCAAACGCAATTGTTCGTTCAATTCAGTTAGTGCATGTTTTTCTTGCTGATACTCTGCATTAAGATCAGTTTTCAGTTGTTCAATTTTAACGAATGTCGACGAAATATAATGAACAACATAATTAGAATGCTCTTGAAGCGGGCGGTATGTCATAAACGAATTAGAATTTTTCGTGTTAGCTTCGTCACTAATGCCGAGTGAATCCAAAGACATTCTTATTTTCAAAATCTATTACTAAAAAGCAAACGTTAGAAAAGAATGTCAATGATTCATTATAACAATACGATTTAGACAGGAACAAACAAATGGAAACGTAGCATTTGTACAACTCACTGTCACTCTCTACTATACATATATATACTTAGGGTGTACCAAAAGTTCTGATCATCATATTTAAAAGACTTTTTCGATAAGGTTTCCTATTCAAAAATGAGAAACCAAATACACCATCCCTAGAGAATATACTGAGTTAAGGGTACCCAAAAAAGTACCCTGATACCAGTATGTCACAGGAACTTTTGGGTACCAAAGTACTTGCAGGTACTTACAGGTACCTAAGTGGTACTATGGCAAGTACCCTGCTGGAGAATGCACAGTAATTGGGTACCTAAAGGTACTGATCAAGTACTGAATTGAGTACCATTGTATAGTATTTCTAAGTACCCTGTTACCAAATTTTCAGTATGTTCAGGATCGAACCTGATCTTTGACTTTTTAAAATTTTTTCTTTTTCTTGAGATAATTTACTAGATTTTTTTTTACTTTATTCAATTTAATTTTTTCAATTCTACAAACTTAGCAGGAACAATGTCGGGATCCGACTCAACTTGAGTTGGTCGTAGACCACTTCAGGGTAGTCCGATCTTAATTTACAACCAAGCTCGGCATTTCCTCGACTAAGAAATAGTCAAGAAATAATTTAGAAAAAACTAGTATGAAAATTGATTATTTTCTTATGATTTATCGAGTTATTTATATAGAGCCGTACGTAAAAAAGAAAACGGTGAATGAATAGTCGCCATACAGAACGCGAAAAATTTAGGATACCCTGTCGAGATTTCCTCAGTAAAGTTACAGACTTGTGTATCCATGCAGGTACTTATTCAGTAAATGTACTTTTACGGGTACTCCAAACAGTACATACATCAGTAAAATTACTGAGAATTTTCAAAGTACACATACTGGGTACCCTGCTAGAGCTTTCTCAGTACATGGGTACCCTGAACTCAGTACTTTCTCTAGGGATGTTGTAGAGTTTTTCGAGATGCATCGAGTAGTATATAGTAAATTCTATTTTCATAAGACTCTGAAAGAATTAGAATCAATTTACTGATAGACGACTACATATCCACATGCATCCATACTAGCACCTATACTCAACAATGATAAATTAATGAATATTGTTGTCCTTGCTATTAATCAAAAATATTTGTAAAATGCCTTTTCTCACATATGACTTTGTAGAACTTTTAAAGGACTACAATCTCATATGCGTAGCATCTCCGATCATCTTGTGGATGTGAATATGGATGGATGCATGTGTGAATGTGTAGTCGCCTATCAGTAAATTGATTCTAATTCTTTCAGAGTCTTATGAAAATAGAATTTACTATATACCATTAGATGCATCTCGAAAAACTCTACAACATAGTATACTTGGTTTCTCATTTTTGAATAGGACGCCTTATCGAAAGAGTCTTTTAAACATGGTGATCAGAACTTTTGGTACACCCTAAGTATATATATATATATATATATATATATATATATATATATGCATCACCTGTCTCGTCCACCAACGTAATTTTTCTAGAAAATTGAGAGCAATGGCTAGGGTAGTGCCAAAACATTGCTATAAAGGTATATTTACGAAAGGAAACAGACAATGCAAACGGACAGCTGTTTTTCTTTGCTGTGTTTACCAATGTGTGATTTCTGTCTTCTTCTTTAATGGAAATCTACATAAGATGGAAAGAGAAAGTAGCCAGATATCAATAAACGTAGAAAAAATTCTCTGACAGATTTATGAAGACTTAGCAGAAATGGGTAACTTAAGATCTAACTGAATCACTATTGCGTCCCTCTATTCTATCTCATCGATCCACTTAACTACGTTGTACCTTGTCACCGTTGCGCTTTCCTTGTTTATTATGAAAATGTAACGTCTAGCTACTACGATTCATAACAACATTATATAAATCCACTCGAAATTTTATTCAGTTGATTAGAATTTGAAAGAATCAGAAGATAATTTGATGGAAGAAATTAATTTTTTCTCGCTTCATTTCTTTTTTTTGTAGTTTAGATGAATGATTCGAACCAAATAATCGAGTCTTTCATCGATAGGCATGGGTTATCACTTCATACAATAACGTGTGGAAAGGAATTATTTCGAAACACTTGTCATCCCCAAGAAACTCAAAGAAGAACAGCCGAATCCTAGAACTTATTCTCAGGTCACTTTTACCCAATGATAATCGGTGAGCTTCATCATGTTCTTACGAGTTCGTTGTAATTCAATTTAGACACCATTTTTATGAACAATCTTCAACAACTTTTCTCTAAAATTCGGTCTATACTTTCTAAAACTGACTAATGATCTCAACAGCTAGAACATTAGACCTCAGTTTTGTGGCAACTGAAGGCTTTCGTAAAATACTAGTATTAAATTGACATTTCGACTAAAGCCATAATTGAGATCTAATGATAAAACCAAGACAGAAAACATCTGGCTATATATGCGTAATAACTGGATATTAACTGACATCAAAAGGAAACACCAAAAAACTGACCTTTCGAAGAGTGTGAATGTAGATTTGGGTGCGAGTATGAATGTGAACACACTGTATGAATCTTCTTTTAGCTGTTAGTGAAGCACACTTACCTAAACACTACACACCATAAATCCTCACTCAGACTTTCGACCATGTACTTCGTCTGAAACTTATCTTAAAGCTTATGCTACTTCGGGAATGAATTATCAACCTTAAATTAAAACTAAGTTTTGACTGACACCTTCAGCAATCATATTAAAAAAATAAACAGTAGACACGACTTATTTCGTTAGTATTAAGTATCAACGACTGACTTAACCATCAAGAATCAACTTCAGTTTTTCTATGCAACACATATTACACTTACAATCAAGTTTTTATGATTGCGTTAGGAAATTTTCAGGTTTTCTCAACTCTTATACAGACAACACATGATGTGGTTCGGCCCATTTAAGAGACGACCGCTAATGATTTTCTGAGTGACTCGAACAACATTACGTTTTGTTCGTAATAGAGTAAAGATAAACTCTGTTCTATTCTAGATGTGGTTGTGTGCCGACACAAGACTAACATTTACACCCGTACTCTCACCTTACTACTCCTGTTAATGAAACAAAACAAAGAGTTGACTACGACATCACAATGTAGTATGTTTTAAAGTAGTTAAAGCTATGAACAGAATCTTCAACACTACAATTAGTAGGCTCTCAGTACAATCAACTAAATAACACTCATTTGCTTCTTGTGCAGATCATGTTTTTCCAAATGCGAAACTGATCAATGAGCTTTCATTCAACAGAATAACAGGAAATCAACCATTTTTCTAGCATACACACAGCTTTTGTATTTTCCTCGCATGCTTAGATCTTGGACAAAGAGTAGGCTCCGTTGAGCAACTAGAATTTGACAGAACTTACTTTGAATAATCACTTAGAGTAGTGTTTTCTTTTTCTGAATTTTCTCCTGTAACAAAACTATCAACAATAAGCCAAAATCGAGCAAAAACAATTTTCGGCAACAGCTGATAGTCTAGATTAAGTCGTAAGTTCATGAACTAATCATGTTTCTAAAACAACACTCTTGGCTATATGTTTCTGGTAAAATTTCAACAAGACGTGAGTATCCTTTTTTTATCAAAGCATAAAAGTGCGGAAAATAAGAGGCTCGAGTGTAGATCATCTGACGATTCTAAATCAGGACTCATTTGAATATTAAATTGAGCATAGCGCGTGTAAAGAAATTCATTTGAAAAGCAGTCTGCATGACAAAGAGCTTTCGACTACACAGTACTCACACAAAATTACAAAAAAATTATGCTACTTACAGAACATGTGGCTTGAAAAGCTGATAAGTTCTTATTCACGTACATTTGGTAATTTCAGATTATTTATTGCCAAATGTCAAGTAAAAGCCTATCATAGAACTTTTGCCAATCAAGAAAACTCACTATGACAAAATTAATGTTATTCAATTCAAAGAGCTCTATCGGGGAGTAGCTTACTTCTACGTAAGAGGCAAACCTACATAGATTGATCTAAGATATTGAGAAAATCAATACAAGATCGAGGAGATGAATAGTTCTACACCTTTTCACGTTTCCATACTTACATTTCTTTGTTAAATTTGTACAAAGAATGCTATCGTTGTTATATGAAAACAAAAACTGATTTAAGATTTACTTGTACACAATAACAGTCCTTCTTTTTTCTCTCGCTTTTTTTTTGTTCTCTGGTATGCTTGTTAACAATGAATTTTGCAGTCCGATTACTATTTCTGTTCAGAATCACCAATCAGGTTTTGTTATTGTACTACCGCTCGCATAATAGGGAGAAGGTTGGTACGTACAAAAAAATAAATTACATTTTTTCAAGGTGAGTAGCCCATGAACACTTCAATGGCTTGTTATTATTTAAGCAAATTTTGAATGAAGTTTACATAGATTCACGTACTGCTAACAAACTTCAAGTGGTGGGAATTTTTTGCGGTTAACACATGAAGAGGTGATTTTTTTCATTGCTATGTATATATTTTTTGTCCGGTTCAGGTAGTCATTTGGCATTAGCAAATATATTCTTAAAGTGGAAGTTATTTATTTTCTCTACCTTGAAAACGAGCTCTTTCGTTCGGCCACGTCAATCATTGAAGACGTGGAGCAAATACTTTTCTGCAGCTCGTCATATTGGTGAGAGCTGCTCGCTTGTTTTTGCAAATCGTAAATAAAAGGTATTTAATGATGAAAGAATATTAGTAGAATTTAACCAGCATAATCAAGTTTTTTGTTTCTGTGGTTCATGATTGTCAAAGTACTGTGTCTTCAATTGAGGGTGTGAATGTGAGTGTGAGTTCTTAGATCAGCCTCACACAAACACATAGAAAGGC